CCGCCGAGCAGTTCTCCAAGCTGAGCACCTCGAAAGGGTCTCACTTCCAGCCAGCTTTGTCTTTTAGGCCAGAGGTCCATAAGGCAAACTTTTGGGTTGGAAAGCGGGAAGACTCCCCCTGGGCGAGCGGGTTGTGCCGCCTCTGGGCCCCTAAGTTTATGTTAGCAGGCGAGCGCAGCGTGTGTGGAGTAGGGTGTGTGTGGGGGACCACGGCGTCCCCTCCTCCCTGGGCTGCCCCCGACTGGCTTCTGCTCTTCCTTTTCTAGTGCTCCTGAACTTGAGTTGTGTGTTTTCTGCGGAGTCGAGAGGCATTTCGGAACGCTTCGGTCAGTTCCATGGTGCGCCAGCAGAGAAGCCAAAGATAAGAGTAGACAGACTGGAAGATTGCAGATTCTGGGGTGGGAGGAACTGGGTACTGGAACGTGAAGATTTTTCAGTTTTAGCTTCTCAGTATCTATGCCCTGTGAAACGTCCCAACTCTCAGTTGGGTATCCTGTTTGGTGGTTTTGGTTGACCGAAGTAATGAAAAGTTTCTCTACCACACACACAGGCTAGCTCTAGGATGTGCAGTACAGATGCTGCAAAAGGAGGAAAAGTTAGCTGGAACTCGAAAGAGTAAGCTAGCTGCTTGCTCTGGGTGCCTTTGTTGGTACCATATAGGTCGCTTTTATTTTGGAGACCTTTGCTAGGGTTCCTGGGCCTCTCCAACCCAGGTTTTATTTGTTAAATTAGGGCTAGCACTAATGCCTAGCTTTTCAGAGTTGTGGGCATTACGCACTGTCAACTTTTTGTAAAGCGCACAGCTTGGATCTGTACTGTAAGTATTTTTTTAAAAGGCCAGGTTAATCATCTGACCTTACGAAGTAAAATAGAAATGTTCCCTGTTTTACGAGTTGCAACCTGCTTGTTTTCCTGTCTTCTCACTTGTGAATTTTTTCTTACTCTTTTTCTCACACTCTTTTCCTCCTCCTTCTTTCCTTCCTCACTTGCATATTTATAGTTGTTACTTCTTACCAAATACAACCAGAATAACAATTACTCTTGGGAAAAAAACTTCCATAACTACTTCCTCACTTTTGCAGTTGAACCAAGCATGTACAACATTGACAGTGCCCCCCTTCCAGTTTGAAATTGAATTTAGAGTAGTCCTGTAGATGATTATTGCCCAGGTGTTAGGAATGGAAACTGAGAGAAGGATCTGTTTTACTCTTCAACCCTTCTTGCCTGAAGTTCACACTGATTTTTTTTCTTATGAGTGCCTTTCTTTTTTTTTTTCTTTTTTTTTTTTTTTTTGGATGGTCAAGATTAAACCTGAGGCTTCATAAATGCACACTACCACATGGTATTGTCAAGCAAGCTATATCTCCAGGCACCTTCTTACTGTTTGTTTTTTGTTTTTTGTGTGTGTTTTTTTTTTTTTTTTTTTTTTTTTTTTTTTTTTTTCCGAACAGGGTTTCTCTGTGTAGCTTTGGCTGTCCTGGAACTTGGTCTGTAGAACTCACAGAGATCTTGTCTCTGCCTCCCAAGTGTGGGATTAAAGGTGTGTGCCACCATGGCCCAGTCATCTTCCTGTTTTTATACTCAATGCATGTGGAGCCAGTTAGGATTCTTCAGCTTCCCTGAAGATTTGGAAGCAATACTTAACTCAATAAAAACTGAACTTGAGGTTCTGTTGTTTTCCTAGGCTAGTAATTTTTAGTACTGTGCTGTAATGATGCTGAGCTCCCCATCCCTAACGGGTCACAAGGGCACCATTGATACACCATTGTGTACTGGGTTGCTGGGCATTTATGTTTAGTACAAAGTATGTATTAGATGCATTTTCAACTTAAAATTATTTTCATTGTATGAGGGGTTTATCAGGCATCCTCTGTATCTTTTTCCTCCTTTCTGAACATTAGTTCAATAGTGTGAAATTCAGTTATAGAGGCAAGTGTGAGCTTTTCTGAGACTGCAGGGTGCTAGGAAGAGTTGAAAAAAGAATTTTTGTAAGCTTCTTGGTGACTCTTGGTCCTAGTTGTTCTAGAATTCACCATGTAGACCAGACAGCAATCTGCTGGCTTCTGCCTCCAGAGTACTGAGATGGAAGGCATGCGCCATAGGGGCTGGAGAGATGGCTCAGAGGTTAAGAATAGTGGCTGCTCTTCCAGGGGTCCGGAGTTCAATTCCCAGCAACTACATGGTGGCTCATAACTATCTATAATGAGATCAGGTGCCCTCTTCTGGCATGTAGGCAGAACACTATATACATAACAATAAAAATAGATCTTAAACCTATTGGTGCACGCCTTTAGTTCCAGCACTTGGGAGGCAGAGGCAGGCAGAACTCCTAAGAGTTGAGAGTTCGAGGCCTGCCTGGTCTACAGAGCAAGTTCCAGGACAGGCTTCAATACTACATAGAGAAACCCTATCTCAAAGAACAAAACAACAATAAAAAATCTTATAAAAGGGGAGAAAGGCATGCATCACTATGCCCAGCTTTTGTAGATGTTTTAAATACTTTAACCCAGCTTTCTTAGTCAATAAGAGTACATTGTTTTTTAAAATACACCATTTTGCTTATAGCAGTTTTGATTTCCTTCCTCACAAAATTTGCTTCCTAATTTCTGCCCAGATTTTTGTTTCTAGAGCACTTTTCTGTAGTAGAAATGATATATGAGCTCCACGTGTGAGTCATGTTTGTAATTGAAATTTGTGTGTTTGTGTTTATGGTGATAAGAATTTAACCCAGAGCCCCATTCAGTTCTATCAACTGAATTTTATCCCCAGCCAGAGAGAGAGAGAGACACACACACACAGAGGAGAGGCAGAGACATGGAGAGAATGTGCATTTATATATGTCTCTGTATATCTATCTACCTATCTATCTACCTATATGTATATATTTATTTTAAAAATACTTAAATTATTGGTTGCAGTTAGATTACAAATCTGAGTCTACATCCTGACAAACACTGATACTTTTTGCCACTGGAAATCATATGTAGGCTTATGGCTGAGGGATATACTGTAGTCATTATAGAGAAAGTCAAGAATTACTTAAGTACTTTGATTTTTATTACACAGATCCCAATAGATGATATACACATTACAGATTACTGAAGGTAAAGCTGACATTCAAGATTATTAATTAGTTGCATAGTTTGGACTACTCTAGAAGACAACTGTTAGCACTGATAAGGCAGCAAAGAGTTGTTTTAGGATTTCTTGGCTTTTCTATAAAGTTGGCATAGTTATTAAATGTAGCATTCGGTGTTTTCCCCTCAGCAGAACTGTTTACACTGGTCTGTGGTTTGGCAGAAATGGCAGGGGCACTGCCCTTTCCAGATCTGCTGCTTGCATTGTTAACGAAGTGCTCTCTAGTAAGAGAGCCTCTCTGAAGGAGATGATGCATTTTATTTGTTACAAGACAGGCAAGCAGAAACCAGATTCCAGGTTGTACCTTGTATTTGTAGGCAAGTCTCATGAATGTCAAAATAGAGCAACAGAGGATGAAAGTCCTCTGCCCACTGATAATCTCTGGAAACTTCTAAGTGTCATTGAGGCCAATATGAGGAGACTCCAGTTGGCAGCTGGGTCCCTGAAGTGCTTACTCATGAGATAGTCCTGGAAGTCCTTGTGCACCTCCACTCCAGCCATGGCCATGCCACTTGAGGTGCAGTCGCTATAGTTTTAGAAAGTAAATATTGGACTGATGAGATGGCTAAGAGAGGTAAAAATGTGTGCTATGCAAGCCTCAGAACTTGTTTACTCCCTAGACCCTCAAAAACTGGATGTGGTATCTTGGTATCTTGGTGGCTCTTATCTACAATCCTATTAGCTCCAACATCAAAAGGAAAAGTGGAGACAGGAAGATTGCTCTGAAGCTCCCAGGCCAGTTGCTGTGAAGTATACTGAGGCATGTGTACTTATTCTTAAATATATGAACATGAGCCAGTATGCATACACAACGAAACTTTTTTCTTTTTTTGGGGGGAGGGGTTCGAGACAGGGTTTCTCTGTGTAGCTTTGGAGCCTATCCTGGCACTCACAGAGATCCGCCTGCCTCTGCTTCCCAAGTGCTGGGATTAAAGGTGTGTGCCACTAATGCCCGGCCCCACAACGATACATTTTAAAATAATTAGTAAAAAATATAATTAGAAAATAAGTTCTAAAAATACTGCTTATACATGCAATCAATATAGGGCATCTTTGCACTTAGAGGGTTCTTTTTGGTGCCAGGTCTTAAAGCTTGTGTGCTTGTGAGTCTGTTTTGGAGACAAGGTCTGGTGTGTAGCCCAGTCTGGCCTTAGGGTATCCAGCTGAGGATGACCTTGAACTTCTGGTCCTCCTGCTTCCACCTCAAGAGTGCTAGGGTTAGTGGCGTGCATCACTATACCCACTGTTGAAGTTGTAACTCAAGGCCTTGTGTGTGTGCTAGGCTAATGTTGAACTAACAGCTACATCCCCAGCCCTGCTGTCTGATACCTATTTTATACTTTACCTGAATTCTAGCTAGCACATTTCAGATATAAACAGGCACATGTTGGTCATAGTTACCACTGTACTGGACAGCATAGCTGTAGGGCTTTGGAGAATAGTTGTGTTTTTACTGATCGCACTACTGCCTATTGTACTATTTTTTAAAAAGTAAGTGAATACATATAAATGCTAGCAAATAAAAGATAATTTTGTAGGAACTAACTTGCCAAGGTCTGTAGACGTGGCATGCAGATTTGAGTGATCTGAATTTATATTAAAGGTGTGTTTGTTTTTGTAGCATTATGGATCCAAGCTTGTTGAGAGACAGAGAGCTATTCAAAAAACGAGCTCTTTCCACCCCTGTGGTAGAAAAACGTGCTGTGCCTTCTGAGTTGCCCTCGGCCTCATCCAAGAAGAAGAAAGCAAAAGTTGAACATGGAGGATCATCAGGCTCTAAACAAAATGCAGGTGAGTATAATTGTTTTAGGACTGTTTGGTTTCACTTTTTCAGGAAAGTAGTAATGACAATTTCAGTTTAATTTTGAGACAGGGTGTCTTTGCAGCCCTGCTTGGCCTAGAACAACTTCTTCTTCTTCTTTTTTTTTTTTTTTTTGGTTTTTCGAGACAGGGTTTCTCTGTGTAGCTTTGAAGCCTATCTGGCACTCGCTCTATAGACCAGGCTGGCCCTGCACTCACAGATATCTGCCTTTCTCTGCCTTCCAAGTGTTGGGATTAAAAGCATGTGCCACCACCTCCTGGCGTGGCCTAGAACTTCTATGTAAATAAGAATGTCCCACAGAGATGCCTGCCTCTTCCTGGGATTAAAGGCGTGCGCCACCAACGCCCGGCTAAGTTTAATATTCTTAATGAGTTTTAGATTATTAGTTAAATATAAAGGATGGAATTTAAGCCCATGATACATTTATAATCTCTGTTTTAAAAATTAGGATATTAGGGCTGCAGAGATGGCTCAGAGGTTAAGAGCACTGGCTGCTCTTCCAGAGGACCCGGGTTCAGTTTCTAGCACCCACATGGCAGCTCATAACTGTCTGTAACTCCAGTTCCAGGAGGGGTCTGATACCTTCACATAGACATACGTGCAGGCCAAACACCAATGCACATAAAGTAAAAATACATAAAACTTTGTGGGGCTGGGGAGATGGTTCAGAAGGTAGTGTTGGAGGACTTTAGTTTAGATCCCAATCCATGGGTTTACATACCTGTAATCCCCATCCTGGGGAGGCAGAGACGGGAGGATACTTGGGACTGTAGACTGGCCAGTCTACAAGGCTGGTGATACCTAGGTTCAGTGAGAAACTCAGTCTCAAGGTTGGGTGGTGGTGAGGCAAGGTGGTAAAACACTTGCTGTGAAACCCAACAAACATGAGTTCAGTCCCTGGAACACATGATGGAAGGAAAGAAGAGGAATCCTGGAAGTTGACTCATGACCCCCATATATGGGTGATGGTACATGCATTTACACACACATATGCACAAATACTAATAAATAACACCTCTTTTTGACACAGCTTCCATGATGTATGCATTATTACATAGTGGGGGAATTAGTATAGTTTAAAAATCTAGAGATTAGTGATGGCAGGATGATTGAGTAGATAAAAGTGATTGTCACACAACTCTGGCTACCTGAATGGGATCTCCGAACCCACAGAAAGGTGGAAGAAGGACTCCACAGAGTTGTTCTCTGACCTCACATCATGTGTATGTATACAAAAGTAATACCAACAACAAAATCTAGACATTTAAGATCCAAATGTTATAATACTGTCTGGAATAGTTCTGGGTACATGGTATTTATATACTTAGGTTTTATAAGCCCTTTATATTATTAGTGTTATTGTTATTTTGAGAAATGATATAGTCCAAAAGCTGGCTTGGAACTTAACTGTGTAGCCAAGACTGGCCTTGTTTCATGACAGTCTTTCTGCCTCAGTGTCCTGTCTGAGAGTAAAGGTGTGAGCCACCATGTCCAGCTTTGTGTTTATGTTACGTAGAAAAACATGAAAAAAAAATGATGCTTTGTGGAATTGATTTTGTACTGTCAATTAGTGTTCTTTGAAGTAAAATTAATAGATTTCTGCTCCCTTCTCCTTACATAATTATGTACAAAAAGTCATCCCATCAGTAGTGGAGATGAACAGAAAAAAGAAGTCCTTTGCAAACCCTGGCATCCTCCACAATTGTGTAACAGACTTCCTAGGGAGGACACCACTCCCCTATACAAATGCTTACTTCCTATTTGGGAACTGAGTGGCAGAACAAAGTACATATACTGTCAAAGTTGGACTTGGTGAAACAAAGAGTTTTGTTAGGGTTATTTTAGGAGCAGAAAGGATTCAAAGACAGCTGCCATCACCAAAGCTGGAAACCTAGTAGGTAGCTCCACTGGTTGGGGAGTGTCCTTTCCAGGTGGTTTGGCTGGTCTCTGTTCCCAGGGGCTTGTCTGAGTGTGACTCTTAGCAGTCTTACTGCTTATGTATTCTTGGGGAGGGAGAGGCCTAGTCAATCTGGTCAGTTACAGGGACTTCCTGAAGCTGTTTTGAGTTGTTTACTTTCTGTCTTGACTTCCCTGCAGGATGGAAACAGCTGCTCAACCACAATCCTCGTAACACATCAGCTATTTTGCATTTGTTTTCAGTCTCTGTGTGTGTCAACTTAAAATGGCATTTATTATAATATTAACTAATTAGAGCTGGGGAGATGATGGCTCAGTTCATCTGCGTAAACATAAAAGCCTGAGTTTAGATTCCCAGGACCATATATAAAGCTAGGTGCATCCAGTGCTAGGAGACAGACAGGGGGATCCCTAGGGCCTGCTGGCCAGCCATCCATTCTTGCCAATCAGTGAGTTAAGTTCAATGAGATTATTTAAAAAAAAAATAAGGTGAAGAGTACAAGATACTATTCTGTTTTATAATAGTATTAAGTGGCCTTTTAATTCAAGAATATACCAAGAAGACTTGGTATATTTAGTAAAAGGTATATTTTCATTTTTTTGTTAATATTAGAAATAATCTCTGTCCACTGAGCTTTTTTTTTTTTTAACCTTTTTGCGGTACTAGGGTTTGAACATGGGGTGTGCGTTTTTCTCAGCCCCAGCTGCTTGCTTTACTTCCTTTTTCAGATCGAATCTGTTTCATTTATCATTTGTTTATTTATTTTGGTTTTTTGAGACAGGGTTTCTCTGTGTAGCTTTGGAGCCTATCCTGGCACTCACTCTTTAGACCTTGAACTCACAGAGATCTGCCTGCCTCTGCCTCGTAGTGCCTGGCCCATTTATCTTTTATTTTAACATTTATTTTTATGTGCATGCGTGTTTTGCCTGTATATATGTATGTGAATCACAGGCATGCAGTGTCTGCAGAGGGCAGAGGAGGGCTGTAGGTCTCCTGGAACCTGTGTTACAGACAGTTGTAAGCTGCTGTGGGGACACTGGGAATTGAACGCAGGTCCTCTGAGAGAGCAGCAAGTGCTCCTAACTGAGCCATCTCTCCAACTCCTGTTTCATTTGCTTTTTAAAATGTAATTAAATATTTTCTAACAATTACTTTATATGTATAGGTGTTTTGCTTTCATGTATTGTCTGAGTACCACATTCATGGCTGGTGCTTGGGGAGGCGGGAAAAGGGCATTTGATTACCCTGGAACTGGAGTCACAGACATGAGTTACCATGTGGGTGTTGGGAATTGAACCTGGGTCCTCTGGAAGAGCAGCATATGTTCTTAACTACTGATCTATATTTCTAGCTCTTAATGTTGTTTTTAAAAATGGCATATATTTTAATTTAATTAAAATAATAGATTTCATTATGACATTTTTATACATGGATAGAAGTGATTTATTCTGAGATAATTTCCTGAAGTAAATTTGTAGCTGTTGTTTATGGTCTGAAGGTAGTGTAATAGTTTTCTTAGTTTTCCTCGCAGGTAATAGCAAAGCAATATTAAGATTATAAAGCATATCATCTGTATAGCCATTGGGATATTAAGAAATAAAATGGAAGGGAGAGAGATGGCTCAGCTGTTATGAGTGCTTGCTGTTCTTGCAGAGGAGTAAGGCTTAATTCTCTGTATGCACATGGCAGTTTAGGTCTCTTAACTGTAATTCCAGAGCATCTGGTGCCTTCTTTTGGCCTATGTGGGCAACAGGCATGCAGGTAGTGCACATAAACACAGGTGAAGAAACATCCATGTGAAGAAAAGGAAATTTCTGTATTTCTTTTTTTTTTTTTTTTTTTTTTTTTTTTTTCCCGGGGTTTTTTGGGCCTTGTGTCTTTCTGGCCTTGGTCTTGTGGCAGTCTTCTTGCCTCTCTGGGATCACAGGCGTATGCCACCACACCTGGCATAGAACCATCACATACTTTTTTTTAAAGTGTGTGCTCGCACATGTGTCATGGAATGTGTACAGAGGCCAGAAGACAACTGCAGGTGTCTTTCATTGCCTTCCACTAGGAACAGGGTGTCTTGTTGTATAACTTAGCTATCTGGCTCTTGAACTTCAGGAGGTTGTCTTGTCTTTGCTATCAATGAGTGCTGTAGTACAGCCTTGAGCCACTGGCTCTATGTGGGTTCCGTGATCTGAATTCAGGCCCTCATGGTATGGCAAGTGCTTAACCCATTGAGTGGTCTCCCAACCCCAAACTGCCACAGTTCTGTAGGTGTTGAGTGTCTTTACTACTGTTGTTGTTAGAACTGGGTATGGTAGGATAAACCTGTAATCCCAGTACTTGGGGAAGGGAGGTCATCTTGGGCTGCATTTCAAAATGAACAAAACAAAACAAAAAACCCAAAAACCCAAACCCCAAATATTTATTATTACTCTGTCAGCTCTAACAAAAGCGTCTCACCTTTCTTTGTAGTTTTCTGCATTGAGTGTCTTTAGGTCTTGATAGTGTGACTAAGAGAAGTAAAAATAGTCAGCTGAGCATGGTGGCACACACTTTTAATCCCAGCACTTGGGAGGCAGAGGCAGGTGGGTCTCTGAGTTCAAGGATAGCCAGGGCTACATAGAGAGACCCTGTCTCAAAAAACCAAAAGTAAATAAATAAGTAAAATAAAAATATATTGTCTTCAATCAGTTTTAAAGTATTGGATTTTTAATAAATAGGGACTCTGTGCCATAGTGGCACATGCCTGTAATCCCGTCATTTTGGAAGCTGAGGCTGTATGGTTGCTGTGCGATTGAGGTCAGCCTGGGCTTCGTATCAAGACTATATCATTCCCTTCCTCCTGTCTTAACAAAGGAACTCTATAGTGGAAATGTCCATGTTGTGGTCCTTCCACCCCCTCCCTGCCCCCCCCCCCCCCCCCCCCCCCCCCCCCGTGTAGCTTTGGTTGTCCTGGAACTCACTGTAGACCAGGCTGGCCTCAAACTCAGAGATCCGCCTGCCTCTGCCTCCCAAATGCTGGTATTAAAGGTATGCACCACCATCCCTGGCCCGGAAACGTTTTACTCTGGATTTAGAGACACATTTTAAGTAGGATTTTGCTACTGAAATACTTCTTTTTAATCTGTGTGATCAGGTGCAAGTTACTTACTCTAGCAGTTAGCTCTGCTTAGTTTTTAGTTTTCTTGGAGACTAGAATACTGCTGTTCAGTATTCCCAGTAGTGCATGCTGGGATAGTTCATAATAGTTTTTGAGGTTCTGTATTAAGTAGACTGGTAAGTTCACATTGTGAACTGTATATTTAATGAAGGATACACACCAAAAGTGCACATTTCACTTGTTTTCTGCCAGAAATGTTTTAGCCATTCAAAGTCAATTTCATTGAAACAGCTGGCTTCAGGAAATTTTCATTTTCCTCAGAAGAGGCAGAAGGCTGTTGCAATAAAGCTTTTGTTCATCTTCTGAGGAGCGCTAGACCACCTCACTATCACGTTTTCTGATGTTGTCCATCATACTCCTGAGAGGGTTCGGCTCGCTTTTCAAGTCCTTCACAGTTTTGTTCTTTGCACAGCAACAGCAGTCAAGTGCTTCATACAGGAAGGCCAGCACGACTAAGGATACCACAGTAAATATGAACAAAAGCAGGATGACAAAGCAGGCAGTGTTCCAGTTGTCATGGAAAGGGTAAATTGTTTGGACTTGAAAGCCAAGGTACTGATAAACAGAGGTCGTGGTCTCATTCCAGTGGCTAGCAGCCATCCTCAGGACCCCACTTCTTTATTGCTGTTTGGGATCTACACAGAGGGAGAAAGTGAATATATCATAACCAAACAACAGATTTGTGTGTTCAGATCTCAACACAAGTTCCTTAGTAAATTTATATAGTTACCAGGGATGTTACTTGTATTCTAGCAAAATTAGTGACTGAATTATGTTTAAATTATGTTTAGTTTTTATGTATTTTGCTTATTAGATAATATTTGTGTTTAAGATTCACACACAAGGAAGAAAAATACAGAATTCACTGCTAACCAAGGATGAACAACCACCAGCTTGAAGCTTGACTAAAGCAGTTGTCAGTGAGCAATTATCTGGGTGAATAATAAATGTAATTATTCTGTGCTTCTAAACTTCTTGGTTTAGGGTGTTTCTGACTTCTATTTTCATTGACAATTTTGATCTGAATCTAGAAATTGAAGCTGAATACAAAATAACAAAAACAAAATACAGTTTTCAGTATAAGGATAAAATACTTAAGTTGCCTGTGAAGTGATGTTACTGTTGGGATTATTAATTAGTTCTGTAGATAATAGTCTTGTTTTGTAAACCTAAGTCACCATGGACAGTAATTAAAGTGGATGAATTTAGGGCTGCCAAGATGACTCAGGGGGTAAAAGATGCTTGCTGCTAACTTAATGACCTGAGTGTGACCTCCAGGATCTCTGTGGAAACTAGAACTGACTATGCAAGTTTCCCTCTGACCTCCATGGCATGTGAAATGCCCCCCCCCATGTAACGACTTATTTATTTATTTTTAAAGATTTATTCAGTATGTATAGTGTTCTGCCTGTGTATATGCCTGCAGGCCAGAAGAGGGCACCAGATCTCATTATAGATGGTTGTGAGCCACGATGTGGTTGCTGGGAATTGAACTGAGGACCTTCTGGAAGAGCAGCCAGTGCTCTTAACCTCTGAGCCATCTCTCCAACACCAAATGTAATGAATTTTTAAAAAGCAGATGAATTTAGTCTTTAAGGACTGCCAATTATTAATTTTATCCAGTAAGCTAGTGAGTTAAATTTCTGTTTTTATAACACTGGGCTCCTTCCTTGGCCCCTATATTTTGTTTTTCTTTTAAACTTTTATAGCACGTGGTGGTCTTCAGTTTCGTATGTAGCTAAGGTTCATTTTGAACTTTGGATATTTTTTTCTTTGCTTCCTTAGTGCTGAGATTATAATAGTTCATTGTTATACTTGCTAATTTCAGTTTCTTTTGTTTCTTTTAGTTTTTTGTTTTGTTTTGTTTTTTGAGACAGGGTTTCTCTGTGTAGCTTTGGAACTTGTCCTGGAACTTACTCTGTAGACCAGGCTGGCCTCAAACTCACAGAGATCTGTCTGCCTCTGCCTCCTGGGTGCTGGGATTAAAGCCGTGACCACAAACGCCCAGCCTGAGTAGTTTTTCTAAATTGTAGAGATGTCTTTTATGTGTATATTTTGTCTAAAAAAAAAAAAAAAAAAAAAGCAAAAAACCCCCAAAACTTCAACACAGTACATGAAGGGTATAATAACATTGGCATCATGGTACATGACTGTGATCCCTGCACTTGGGAGACAGATGCAGGAGAACATGAGTTTGAGACCAGCCTAGGCTACATTGGGAGTTATGGATGGGTTTTAGGTGTGTAGTGAGACTTTTGACTCACAAAAGCAAGGAAGAGTGTGTAAGGAACTCCTATGTGCTCACAGTTCGTCTTCATGCATCAGTTGTTGGCTTCTATCACATGTGTCACTGGAAAGCAGCTCCAAGACGTTATTCAATCTAGAAATATTTCAGTACTTATTTCTAAAAGATGAAGACTGTGTTTTGTTTCTAAATACAAGCATGGTGTTATTTCTACTTCCAAACTGAAGTCATGGATTAAATGCCTTTCTAGTAAACAGAATTTTACAACTTTTACCAAAGTTGTGTTTCCTAAGGTTTTATTTCTGTTGTAAATCAAGTTTGTTTTACAAAAATCCCACCTCTAGCCATTTGCTTACTTCCAATATTTTGAAGGTTAGATTTATTATCTGAAGCCAGAAGTAAAGGCTTAAATACATGTTTTGTTTGAACTTAAAACTTGTTTCATGGTGCTTGATTACTCTTATTCTTCAGTGAGAGCCAACAAACTTCATGGGTGGTATGCAATTGAATTACTTTTATTAGTTGAGGGACACACAAAGTTACATTGTTAGTAGGTGAGGAATCACTTCATAATGTCTCTAGACCTAGGATATCAGAATTACCTTATTGGGGGCTGGAGAGAAGGCTCAGTGGTTAAGAGTACTGGCGGCTCTTCCAGAGGACCTGGATTCCGTTCCCAGCACCCACATGGCAGCTCACAACTGTCTATAATCAGCTCCAAGTGATTTGACACCCTCATACAGACATACATGCAGACAAAACACCACTGCACATAAAATAAAAATCAAAATTACCTTATCCTTGGAATGTTCTCTTCAGATTACATTCTTTTTTTTAAATTGAAAATAAGTTTTTTCATATATTATAGTTACTGTTTCTCCCCCCATATGCCTCCTAGTTCCTCCCCCCTTGCCTCCTGTCTTGATCCACACCCTTCTTGTTTCTCCTTAGAAAACAATTAGGTATCTCTAGAATAAAAATAAAATAAGATAAAATGAAACAAGCAAATCGGAGTAATACAAAAACCAAACTAAAAAGAGCCAAAGGAAAGCACAAGAAGCATAGATGCAGAAAAAGACCCATTTGTACATATAGGGATCACATAAAAACATAAAACTGGAAGCTATAATGCGTATGCAAAGGACTTGTAATGTTCAAAAATGCCCTGACTTAACATTATAAGCCAAAGAACTTCCAAGGATGCCATTGAGTTTATTTTGTGTTGGTCACCTACTGCTGGGCATGCAGCCTACCCTTAATAGTGTTTGTTGGGGGCTGAAGAGATGGCTCAGAGGTTAAGAGCACTGACTGCTTTTCCTGAGGTCTTGAGTTAAATTCCCAGCAACCACATGGTGGTTCACAACTATCTATAATGACATCTGGTGCCCTCTTCTTGTGTGCAGGCATACATGCAGGCAGAATGCTGTATACTAAATAAATAAAATCTTTTAAAAAAAGATTATTATTATTATTTTTTTAAAGTGGTTTGTTGTGGGGCATTGGTGGCACATGCCTTTGGTCCCAGCACTCAGGGGGCAGAGGCAGGTGGATTTCTGTGAGTTCGAGACCAGCCTGGTTCTGGGACAGCCGCCAAAGCCACAGAGAAACCCTGTCTTGAACCTCCCCCCCCCCAAAAAAAAAAAAGTGGTTTGTTTCCACACTCCTTGGAGAAAACTAAATTTTCATTCACAAGTGGCAATCAGTTGGAGATAGCTTCTGGGTTAGGGATAAAAGTATGTGTCCATTTCTCCTTTCAGTTCTAGGACTTCATTTGATGCAGAGCACATTCTTAAGGAAAAAACCAACCAACCAAACAAAACAATCTGCCTTGTGCTTTATGGTTCCATTGCCTTCTAGTGTTAAGTGATATCTCTTGTGTTGTGTGATGTGAATACCCTGATGGACTGATCCGACCTATGTGTTGTTGAGGTCTCTGAGTCTAAACACCATGGACATAAATGTACAAGTATTCAGAAACTTGGTTAGAGACCCAATTTAGGGGTGTGGGTATGGGTAGCTATCATGGCTAGTCCTTTTGACCTGGCTTCTTTAATAAAGGTGCATGAGGTATGCGCATATCTCCCATGTGACTTTAAAATGTTTCGCTTTTGAAACACCTTTAAGATTTATGACAGTAGTATAATGTGAATATTCATGCAACTCCTTGGGATCCCAGCATTCATGGGGCTAAGGCAGGAGGTAGAAAATTAAAGATTTGTGAACTACAAAACCAGGCCCTTTCCCATCCCAGCTAGATGTTTAAATTTTACTTAAGTTGTCTTTTGAACAAAACAGGCCTAAATACAATTTGAAATAATGTTCAAATTAAAACATTTACCTGAACACAAAGGAGCATTTCCCCCCGAAAACTACAGCACAAGTTTTCAGTGTGAAGACTTGGCAAACATGTTGATTTTACGTTAACATAAATGAGTTTTCAGATTCTTGGTTTTTTCAGATTGGGTTTCTCTGTGTGACTCAGAAATCCACCTCCTGCCTCTGCCTACCAAATGCTGGGATTAAAGGCACTCACCACCACCACCACCACCCAGCATCAGGGTTTTTTTGTTTGTGGGTTGTTTTTTTTTTTTAAGACAGGGTCTCTCTGTAGATCAGGCTGGCTTTGAACTCACAGAGATCTGCCTGCCTCTGCCTTCTGAGGGCTGGGATTATAGGCATGTGCCACTACCGCCTGGCTTCAAATTCTTTTTGAAGACCCAGACTTGCCAGGCGTTGGTGGCGCTTGCCTTTAATCCCAGCACTCAGTGAGGCAGAGGCAGGCGGATCTCTGTGAGTTCGAGGCCAGCCTGGTCTCCAGAGTGAGTGCCAGGATAGGCTCCAAAGCTACCCAGAGAAACCCTGTCTTGAAACACCCCCCCCCAAAAAAAAGACCCAGACTTGAGGAAACTTTAAAACCCAGGGCCTTGTTTGTCTGCCACTGCCCTATATCCCCACCCTAAACAGTGTACTTTATTTTCATGTAAAAATTCATACAATGATTATGCTTTCAGTGACCGTGGAATAACAGTATGTTTACCAAAGGCAAATGTGTGTGTGTGTGTTGTGTTGGAAGTGTCTAAGCAGTTTAGAAAGGAGTATATATGAGTGGTGGTTTGAATAAGAGTGGTCCCTATAGGGTCATATGTTTGAAAGTTCAGTCATTAGGGAGTGGCATTATTTGAAAAGATTAGGAGGTATGGTCTTGTTTAAGGAAGTGTGTCACTGGGGATTTCTAAAGCCCATGCCAGGCCTAGGCTTTCTTCTTTTGGATCAGGATGTAGGCTCTCAGCTACTGGTCCAGTGCCTAAGAGTTGCCATGGTCAAGTTATCTCTTCCCAGCAATAGAACAGTGAAT